CCAATTAATGAGTTCAATCGCTCGCATGCTCTACTCTCCTTGGCATTCGACGCTGCAGATGGGAGTGCAATCACACCTACAGGCCTACAGGCCTTCTACAGGCCTACTACTACTACTACTACATACTACTACATACTACTACAGGCATACTACTACAATACGATCTGTAGCGGCTCGATCTTTTTTCTCCAAAAAGCGTACCCATGCCGATCCCGTCCAATCAACGTCGTTTGTCATCCTTTTTCATGCGAAATCCCCCACCCCGACACGGCACGGCCCCGCTTGCCGGGACCACCTCTCTATCCTTCCTTTTTCCTCCAAAAATTACGCCCCTTAATTTTACTCCCCACCGGTGCCAACTTCCAGTAAATAAAGAAGAGGAAACTTTTTTTTTTTTTTTTTGCAGTCATGATGTTGTTGAAAACAACCCGTCTAAACATTACCTCGGCTCCGTACATACAAGCCAATACAGATTACAGTGCATTCGAAACGCTCCGGGCTCTCTCACTCGACTAGAATCATGTCCCTGCCGACGCTTCGACCGCCCAATATGCCGCAGCAATCACCTATACATCTTCCGACACCTCCACCTACAAGCTCTCTCCATAAACCGCTGTGTGCTGGCCCTCCTGAACAATCGCCGCCTCCGCTCATCCCTATGCGAGAGTATGACGATGTGCTGCTCGCGCAGGAAGCGGCTGAGGATTCTCGTTTACAAGCTAGGGCAAGCCGGATGTGGCGTGAGAGCCAAGAGTACTCATGTGCCGAGGATAACGAGACGACGCCTTGGCTGCAACATACGAGGTGGCCGGAACGATTCCGGAACCGGCCGCTCGATATCATCACTGCGTCCTCGAGGCTGCCTGCCCGGGGCTGCTATGAGCAGAACGAGGATTTTACTCTGGGGAGCTGGGGAGGAATTCCGCTCCGAAGCTCCGCAGCAGTGGAAGCCCGGATCCGCGTCCTCATGCGCGCTGTTGATGATATGTTTGATCGAGCCGAGGCCACTCTCGCATGTACTTCCTATCAGTCTCGGTGCTGGCTGACAAGCTACAGGAATGGTGTATTCCAGAACCGCCCGCTGCGCGTCATGCCGTCAAGTACTGGGCGGCAGTACAAATCAAAGTGGAAGCGCTTCATCTGCTACATATTTCGAGCTCTTGAGCTAGGCCCGCGCCGGCTCCGGGAAGTGCATAACATGGTGTTGCGTGGTGACGATATAAAGATGATGAACCATATTGTGAATCTTGCGTCGCAAGTTGTGGAAAGAGAAGATGTCGACGATGAGGACTGTGAGGACGACGCTGAAAACAACGCTGAAAACGACAGCGACAAAAGCAGCGACTACAGTGATTGCGACAGTAACTACGACAGTGGCAGCGATAGTGACTGCGAAGGCCATGGCGACGGCAGAGTACATGACCAA